AGGGCGTTTGGGCACGGGGCAGCGCTGGGAACGGTGCCCTGGCGGTTTAAGCTAAGACCAAACCCACAGCGCCAGGATGACTCCAGGACAGGGCAGAGGGTCAGAGAGGCCCCTGTGAGAGGAGGGCCAAGCCTGCAGGTGCTGCAAACTCCCGGCTGCCCCTCACCAGCCGCACGGTGCCCATCGCCCTGCAGGCCAGGCGTGGAGGTCCTCGATATGTGCCCCAGCCGGGCTGCCTTGGCGTGGCCAGAGTGGGGCTAATGGGGAGAGCCCAGCCCAACTCCCAGCTCCGGCCCAAACCCTGCCCCAGGGCAGGATGCGCTCAGGAAAGATGCAGGCATGAGAGAGGGAGTCGGCTCTGGGAGAAGGGGCCAGCCCATGCCAGGGGAGAGGACAGTGGCAGTGCCGGAGCCACCGTGGCCAGGGCCACGTGTGCATGAGCACCTGCAGGTCCCGCTGCGGTGGAGAAGGCCCGGCCCAGAGCCTGGGCACGCAGGAAGCAAGGCAAGGCAGCTGCACGAGTTACAGTGCTCCCCCAGCACAGCCTTGCTCCAAAAGAGGGGACAAGCTGCTGCCCGAGGCACCCAGCACCTTCCCTGGGCGCTGGACCGGCGCAGCCCCAGCAGCAGGTGGGCACCGCTCCTGGCTGTGCTTAACTCTGCTCTCTGCAGGGGCAGCGGCAGCACGCGTGGGGACAAGGACACCTGTGAGCTGCACCCAGGCCCTGGTCGCACCCCTCGTGCAGCCCCTGGCTGCATCCAGCCCGCAGCTGAGCCCCAGCCGGGGCCATCAAGGGCCGAAGCGTCGCTGCAGAGCAAGCCTGACCTAGCGCTGCGCGTGCCGGGTGAGGGGCGGGAAGGATGCCAAGCTGAAAGCTGGCACATGCCCACTCCTTGCCTGGTGCCAAAGGGGGCCTGTCCTGCTCCGGGAGAGCTGCCAGCACGCCAGGCCCAGCCTGGCAGAGCTGCTGTCTGGCCCAACGCTGTTAAGTCATATGCTCACCCCACATAGGCCGTTTCTGTCGTTGCGGCGGGGCTCAGCCTCCCCGGGCCCCCAAGGCTGGCTGCCGCAACACGCGCCCACCGGGAAAGGGGAGCAGAGCTGGGGTCAGGGACCTGCCACAGCCTCCCCAACCCTCTCTACCTCAGGCAAGCAAGCGCGCAGGGAGAGATGTGCCCCAGCTGGCCATGTGCGTGGACCCCCCCCAAGCCCCCGCATGGCCTACGTGTGTGGGGCGGGCAAGCCCCATGGGATCAGGCCAAGATAGTGCTGCACTACGGGACATGGGAGGGGGCAGGGGAGAGCGAGCGGCCCCGCTCAGGGAAGGCTCATACATGACTGAGGTGAAGGTGGTTTCCTGGGTGGGGGACCAGTGCCGAGATAAACCCAGGGCGCCTGTCTCCCCCTGTGGCTATGGGGCCATCTGTGGAAGGGAGCACGATGAGTAACTGGGGAGAGCTGGAGCCACCCCCTCCCCTGCCCGGCTCCGTGCCCCAGGGGTGCCCGATCGTGGGGAGCAGAGGGGAGGATGGGGAGGGGGCGAGCACCACTCCTGCTGCTGAAGGGTTTGCTCTGTATTGGAGTCTGCCCCCGGGCTGGCAGGGTTAGGTCCGGGGCAGGCTGCACATCTCGCAGTGGTCCGTGCCCGGCTGGTTCATGAAGGTGCAGTGCTGGCAAGCCCACATGGCCGCCGACACGGCGTGCGTCGAGCCGCCCATGGCACCATACTCGTGTAGTCCTGAGATCTGGACACCGACTGTGCCTGCAAGAGGGAGAACCCCATCAGACCAGGGGAGGGACAGAAGCGCTGGGGCCAGGCAGGTCACCTGTCTAAGTCCAGAGCAAATTTTCTGTCCCCAAACCAGGCAGGAACCTCTCCCTCCTCCCTGCCCTCACCTCCAAGACTAGCATCACGGGGAGGCTTCCACGGTGCCAGTCCCCAGCAGGTGGCAGATCTTGGTGCCCCACAGCCAAGAATTAAAGCTCCTACGCTCTACAGCTGCCCCAGCTCCACTCCCCCTGCACTGCCTGATGCTACAGTATCCCAGCTGCCTGGCATAGGTGCTGCCCAGAACCCCCTCCAGGACCTCTCTGACTTGAGAGCAGTGCTGCGCACATGCTAGCCCCCTCAGCCCAGCCCCTGGCCCAAAGAAAGACGGGCTGGGTCGCAGAGAGACCCTGTTCCTTACTGCAGAGCTGCTCAATGGTGGCCCACTGCTCAGATTTCTTCCAGGTCTGTGCGAGCTCCTCGTTCTTGGTCCTCACGGCCTCTAGCAACAAGCTGATGCTGTCCTGGAAGCCAGAACAGGGAAATGAGAGCTGGACACTCTCCTGGTGCACGGGCCGGAGCTGTGACCCAGGCGAATGCCTCCCTGCCCTCCCCTACCAGCCACAGCAAGGGATTAGACAGAGCTGTCAGTCTGCACTGTCGCCCTCCCTTAAATGTGCAACTCAACGGGCCAAGTGATGTACGCTGGCAGGAAGCAAGATGGAGTTTAGTCCTTCTGCTCCCTCCCCTTCAGACATACCCCTAAAACCTGGATGCTTCGTTTTCCTCTGCTCGGATAAAAGCATTTCCTAGCAAGGCTGCAGCCAAACGCTGCGCTGCCCCACGCAGGAGAGCGGGCTGGTGTTGTGCGTTGAGCCTTGCTCCCAGCGGGGTGCAAAGCAGCCATCCTGGAGAGCGATGGCTCCCTGCACCCAACCACACGCGCAGCCCCGGCCTGATCTCCAGCTGCCCAGTGTCAGCCCAGCTGCCCTGCACATGCTCAGTCTGCAGCGCCCTCGAAGCCTCTGGCAAACACATGGCTCTTTCTGCTGGCGTGCTGCTTAAAATGGGAATGTCCGACGCCGCAGATGTTAACGGGGGCCTGGGCAACAGCCAAGCTCCCAGTGCCAAGCCAAGAGAGGCAGAGCTGCAAAGACAGGAAGTTGTTGGCCTCGCAGAGATTTGGGGGCTCTGATCTCGTTATCGTTACAACAGGAATTTCTGATTCCGAGATTTTTAAACGTTTCCAGCGCTCAGAGCTGTAGCCAAGTTGGCTCTATCCGGTCTGCAACCGTGCTAACAACCACCACCCACTCATTGCTCCAAGCAGCACTTTGAAAGTTTTTGGTCTAGTCGGGGACTTTAGTTTTACTTTTTAAACTTCCTCCTGAAAGGTCAGCCTGGAAGAACAGGCGTTTGGCCAGTTCCATGTCCTGCGCTGCAGAGGTGGACACCCAGCCTGGGGATGTGCCCAAGGAATCGCGGGCCCAAGACGCTCTCCTCCCATATGTGAATGACACTGTGCAAGGAGCTCAGGGCCTTGTGCGTGGCAACGTGACCGTTTCCACCTGGTTACGTACCCGCAGAGGCATGACCTCATTTGTGACCAGGAAGAGGAGCAGATGGAAATCCGAAACGATGTCTAGGAAAACCGAGGAAGTGTTTTGGGACAGGTACGTGGCCAAGCTGTGGAAGTCCTACAGAGATCAAAAAAGTAACAAAAAAAGGTCACTTTTGCCCCCACAGAGTAATAACATGATTTTGCTACTCAGAGCCATTAGCAGACATTGTAACGTTCCTGTCTCTTGAGCATCAGCTGCAATGTGCAGAGACCATCCTGAAATCAGATCACAGGCTGTCAGACTGATTGCAACTTACTGCATTTCCAGAAAAGAGGATCTTTGGTCCACAATCTCTCTTATCCAGCCACTTGAACAACTCCAGCACAGAGCTGATCCCAGACCAAGGAAACGCTGAGCGGAGGTCACTCAGCTCAATTCACAGCCCAGTCCCTTAAGGAAAGGCAGATGAGGACAAAGCAGCCCCTCTTCCCCAGCATCTCCTGCCAAGCACCGCTCATTCTCTGCTCTCAAACCCAGGCCACCTTGAGAAGTGAGAATCAAAGTTGTCATCAATCAGCCAACTTTCTTCGTCTGTTGACAGAGCCACGATGGGCAGTGGCCGTTCTCCTGTGAGAAGAACTTTTGAAGAAGTTATTGACACCTTTGGCACGGCCTCTTTAGAGGAACTAGATGTTGCTGCTTTAAAGCAACTTAAGCCTTCGGTCAGCTGGCAAAAATCAGTGTATGCCGCGAGCTGTCCAGCAGCTGCCTCTGCTCAATGCTATCTGGGCCTCTCTCATTAAAGGTCTCAGGATTTTAAAAATCAGTCCAGGAAGAAAAGTCAGCGTTCTCTGAGCTGGAGCAACAGGCCCTTGTCCTGTTCCTATCTACGGGGAGAAACAGGTCCTGTCACTGTGAGGTTACAGCCCTGCTAGATCACACATACCAGAGCTGACACCTCCTTAGTGCTATCTGGGAGACACCTGCCCTGGCAAAGAGCGAGGCCTGGACCTCGTCACTGAGCGGGTGGGGACTGGCGCGTCCAGCAGGCTGATCTACATGCAGACGCTGTTCAGTACGGGAAGCATAGCTGGCTGCTTGGCAGAGGCTGGACCAAACCAGGAAGAGGTGATTTAAGGGCACGACTGCAGCCATCCTTTCTCAGATGTTAGCAAGTATAGAGGAAGCAGACAGACATATCTGTATTAAACAGAGCTTTGGTACAAATGACTCCTTACCTGAGTTTCTCCCAGCACATCACGGTTCTCGATGGGGAACGGATTTTGAGAAATAGAAAAAGTGTAGACTGGATCCTTGGGGAAAGTTGTAGTAATCTGAAAAACCAAGACAGGACCATCAGAGCAATGAGAGCAGGAGGGGCAAGCGCGATATGGGAAGCAAGGCTTTTGATAGCCAAGAGCAGCCGCAGCCACAGCCACATGTTAGAGCTCCACAAGGAAGCGAGCGAGGCAATTACAACACAAGGATCTTCAGACAGCTGTTAACATTTAAAGTGATATTCCAGTCAGCAGATCCCTTGGTTCCTGGCAGCCATTTTAAACTAAGCTGGAGGGAGACGTACTGAACGCGCCCTTTACAACAGCGCAGCAAGGTGCTTTGGAGAACGTCCCTGTGGGTAAAAGCCACTGGAACGCAGCTCAGCCCCACACCAGGTAGTTGCTGCTTGGGGTGTCACCCTGGGGGGGCTCTTAAAATCAGAGGGTGACACACAGGGTAACCAGGGGACTGTGCCGCTCTCCTCTGGGCTGGAAAGGGTGCCAAGCGAAACGCCTGCACACTTCATTTAACAGAGGGATGCCGGGGGAAGATGAAGGGAATGAAAACACCGGTGAGAAATACATTACAGAACAAGAGATTCTTGGTGTCACAAAGCCCTGCCTACATCCTCTCCGAAATCCTCGCTAACAAAGGTGCTCAAGAGCCGGGTGCATTTGACACAACCACACTCAACCGACACCTGCAGCAGCTCCGAGGCTGATACAGGCTCTTCTTGGCAGGCAAAAGACTTCACTGCTGCTTGAGCATCCAAGCATAATCCCTGCTTCCTCCAGCCTAACACACTGGCTTGTGGTGGAATCCCTCAACCAGTCAAAGCAGCAAACCCTCCTTCTTTCAGCAGGGCGAGCCAGATGCCTGCCGCCCCTAATCCCTCGACGTGCTGGCGCTGCAGCCTTGCTGGGCTGCTGGGAGCCCCCAGCACCCTTCCTGTAGGGCAGCGCTCTTCCCAACCGCCCCCTGCCACAAGCTCTCGGCAGGATCCAGCAACTTCTTCAAATACCCAGAGGCAACAACTATGGGGCGCTCTACACGGGCTGCGCCCTTCTGGCCCCCTGCACTTCCCCCAGTTGCCCCAGACTCAGGACTGCGCTAAACCTGCCTCCTCCCTGCACCCTGTGCCAAATGGGGATGGGGAGGTAATATAACATTGTGCACAAATTACTTGAGAGGTGACCAAGCTCGGAAGCCAGTGCTTGGGTGAGCTACCGACATTTACACCAACCCCAATTCTTGGGGTTATAAATCTTTGGTGTTGGTTACTGATTGCTGGGCCCTGTCAGAGAGGCTCTTTGTAAGCAGAAATGCAGAAACACCTGCCAATACAGTATTAACTAAAATATATACATGTATTTTTTAAAGAGACAAAACAAGATGCTTCAGAAACGCAGCTTTCTATCGTTCCAGACTCCTCCTAAATGCAAGCTCCGTCAATCTGTTTTTGTCTTAATTACACCCCAGGTAGTCCGGAAACAGATGCCTTTACTACTTGAGTAATAAATACGTTCCAACGCTGCCGATCGGAATGGGGCGTCTGAAGGCCCCACACAATGGGCCCATTGTTCTGAACACGGTATTTCTCTGTGTGAATCACATGTCAAGGCCTTCAGTCCAAATGCCACTCTGATAAGTGATGCACGCACCAGATAGTAGTACATGGGCAAGAAGGAAGAACAAGCAGAAGGCTCCAGCCTGCCAGCTTCCCTGTGCCTGCAGGACAGTCTGCCTGGGCCAGAGGCAGCTGGACCAGACCAGTTGCTCCGAGGGGATTTAATCGTTACTGGCACCACCTTCAACTCCAGCACTATCATCTGCCATCCAAATTATTTGCTTTCCTGCCTTCCACACCGTAATGGTTTCCGTTCAAGCTGAAGGGCAGAGCTATGGCCCAGTGCCTGGCAATGTTTGCTGACGGGCAGGTAGCGGCCCTGCCCCAGCCAAGCTCTCTGCTGTTGCTTGTACTCCCTCTCCCAAGAAAAGGCATTTCTGTAGCACTAACCTGGTCTGCTGAGTCACTACGAGGAACCGGATTCTTAACTGCTGCTAACAGACAAACAACTGGAGCTTTCTAATTAGCTCCCCGTGAGGTAGTGCCCAGCACACATATCCTTGGGGCTGGCTGCTTCCTCTGTTTTATGGCTACGTGCCATTTCATAACAGTGATAAGACAAACCAGGCAGTGCCTCCTAAGGAAGTAAATGCATTCTCTGGCACCACAACACACCATTCCCAAAGAGCGCTGCAATTATCCCAGAGCGTACCGTCTCTGTGTTAGAAATGCCTGGCAGCAGAGGGGAAAGAGGATAGAAAGAAAATCTGTTCTGTGAAGGAAACTCCAACGCAAACTTCAGAGGTGGGTCAAGACCTTAACTCTGCCCTGACCATGTCCTGCTCCAAACAAGTGCAAAGAATACTTACGTCTATGATTAGGTACTCAACGGGGAGCGGGCGAGCCAGCTGCGTGATCTCATTGCCAAATTTGTCTATGTCCTGAAAGAAGAAGAGTTTCTTATTATTCCTCAGTTCAGAAGTGGTGTGAAGCCTACGGGATATGGCACTTGAGACACCGCCACAGAAGCTTGGGAATTCTCAACTTTGGCAGGTTGCTGAAGGTGCAGAAAAGAATCTATTCACGTGAGGCTGCTTTATTGGGTACTGGGGTTGATACAGAGCTGCCCGATTCCCTGCAGGTCACAGGGGTTAGAGATCTCCCTAGCTTTGTAAATCAGGCCCTCTGTTTCTTTGTGAGCCAAGAGCGTGTTTCAGTACAAATGTGGCACCTTTGTCTCGTTTGCCTCAGTCACCACCACCAGAGAGATGGATAGCATTGTTTGAGAAGCGTAGACGCTGTCTGAAAAGTAGCGTTGTCTTAAAAAAAAAAAAAAAAAAAAAAAAAAAAAGGAGGGATAGTTTGCTTTCCCAACGAAGGTAAACCTGACTCTGCAAAGCTGACCAAAAGTGTCTAATCTGACTGCTTGCTTCTGCTCAGGAATTGAAAGTCCAGGCACTTTCTTATACACAGACCTGAAAAGCTAGCACATCACACAGCATAAACTTGTTTTGCTTTGCCAGACGAACTGAACATAAAGTTTAATTATGGAGAAAAACGGCCAGCATATGTTCATTAATCATAAAATGACAATTAGACTTGATTTATGTCAAACATGCAGAGTTCAAACACAGCTTCAGAAATAAATTCATAGGAACTGACACTTTTCATTAAAGATTCTGTAAGAGGGGGTTGTATTTTCTACCTAAATCATCACTTAACGTGTTATAAATCATTCATTGAGCCACATATAAATTATACGCCCATAATTTCCAATCAGAGACCCTACATAAAAGTTTACATTTACTGAGCTTTCAGAAGTCCCAGTGGCTGGAGGCAGACCCAGGGCTGCTGCACACCGGCAGAGCCGTCGCCCCGACACCTCCCTGGCTTTCGGGGAGCTCTGTGAGAGGCCATGAACTCTGCTCTTCCAGCCCCTTTCCAGCAGGCCTCCTCCAGGGTTTTGAGCAGCATTCCTAGTGCTGAGCCAGCAAGCAACACGCTTCAGGATAAACTGCCCATGGCTGACATCCTCCTTTCACAAGCTATATTTTCTCTTTGAGTACGCCACTCCTCCGCTATCAGCGTTTCTCAGTTACGCTAGTATTTACACAGCACAAATATGCAGCACGGCAGCCAGCACCCCGCTCTCACGCTCTGCTCTCCCAGCAGACCCGGATGGACATTGCCCAAGCAGGCTCTGGCATGCTCCGCCGCTCGAGGCAAAAGCCACCAACAGCCCCTTCCACCAGCCCCCTCCCCACCTCCACCCCAAGCACCCTCTGTCCCTAGAAATAGTTCCCTTTGTAAAAATCTACCTTCCAGTCTTTGAAGCTTCTTTTAAAAGCAATTCTGATAAAGATCTTTTCTCCTTGAACATGACAGGTTGTTAGCCCTGTGGTTATTTTAGCAACAAGCCTGGTGGCTCGTGGCCTTAGATCTCTATGGCTCTGACAGGAGCAGTAGGAGACGTGGAGCCTTTTCAGAGAGATCACAGGACCTGAAAGCTAACCTGTTTCTAGATCTCAGTGATACCGTAAGAGTCAGGAATCAAATCCAATCAAACCAAATCAGCTTCTCAAACACAATCCTGCCCCTGCAAGAAAGAACCTGCAACAACTCACACATAATTAGCCCATCTGGAATTCATTTTCAAATCTAATTAAGTTCTAATATGCAGAAACATTTTTCCAGCACCTGTTCGCTTTAATCTCCGCCTCCGGGAATTTCCATGTTAAATGCCTTCTTTTTAATGTCATGCTACTGAGGCCTTCAAGATATGCACGATACTGCTATTACCAAACTGGGACCTCACTTCCCCCAAGTCAGAGGACGTGTCCAAAGCCTCTCCCTCCCTCAGAAAGAAAAGACCCCTACCTCCACACCAGCACTCTTTTCCAACCCCCATACACCATTTTATTAGGCAATTACATTTTAAAAGCCCTAACAAATGTCAAGCTGGGAGAATTGCTCGGAGAAAGACATCTTCACTCTGAATTTAGCAGTCACCAGGGCCCCAGCAGCACCTCTCTGCACATGGCACGTTATTAGTGCAGCTCTGGAGCCAGACAGCCCCAAAGCCACGAACACCACTTGCTCTGCCTAGTGGCGACAGCTCCAAATGGAGGACTGCAAGGGGTTAACGGAGGCACAACTATTTGGCGCCTGGACAAAAGTCAAGCAACAGGGCCTGGAGGATCTGGACAATAAATCATCCTGAAGACTGGAGCAAACTGGAGATTGCATCAGGTGCCGTGATTAGAGCCTTTGAAACCACTGTTTGGAGGCAGAAGCTGCAAATGCATGAGGTCAAACAGGGAAAATGACAGGTGCATCTGCATGGAGAGGGCCGGCCAGATAACACCTTTCTGCAGCCCTGCAGGCCTCCAGCAGCAAGAAGGGGCTCCACGGTGGCCTCAGGTTTTCTCCGCTAAGGTCCCGGCACCAGCCACGCGAGGAACCTGGGCAGCGTTCAGCCAGGAGGGAGGCTCCGACTCCGTGGGGACTTGGCATCCCAAGGCTGGAGAGCGATTAGTGTCTGATACTGTTCGTCTTCCTCACGGGTTCGCTCTGCTGATGGCATTACTGAGCTGAGAAGCTGCCTGTTTGTTTGTTACTGAATCCCAGCGCTGCGTTTCCCTCTGCTGATTTCAAAGAGCTTTACTGGGCAGTACTGCCCCCTTTCATAGATAGGACAGCTGACGCACAGAAGTGAAGTGACTTTCCTAAGAGCAAGCAATAGGTCAGTGAGAGTTGAAACCCATCTCAGGAGACTCCTCATTAGCTAATCAAGCATCCTCTTCCCAGGGCAGCTGGGACATTTGAAGCTAAGAAGGCTTTTCCAGTCAAACATGAGCCATTGGTAGGAGGCCAAGCGGGGGAAGTCCTTTATTGCTAGTGAAAACTCCCTGCAGAAGTCTCTGTGCAGCTTGGCTTATGATGTTTTCCCCAGGAAGACGATTTCAAAGTGAATGGGAGGAAGCAACGCATGCCACATTCAGAACAGCCGAGACTCAGAGAAGCTGTGGGTCTGCAGTCCCGTTCAGCTCTAACAAAAGCAGTGCGCTGCCATCAGCTCTCTCCCAGGGCCAGATGGGATCGCATTTAACAGATGACAAGTCGAGGCCCAGACGCCGTATCAGCTGTTGTAAATACAAAAAGCACATGCAGGACTCTACAAGGGGCAAAGGGCCCTTTCGTAACACTGGTGCCATTGAGAAAGGCTTTTGTCTTACATCATCCCAAAGAAACTTTGTGGGATATTAAGGCAGCTGTAAAACGCAACTCATTGCAGGGATGACGTCTCCACGTTCATGCTAAGCTGAAGTAAATACCTGTCATTAAGAGAGAGAGCCATTCCTAAAAAACTACTAAAATCCAATTATTCAAATGTTTCAAAGGAACCGTAAAACACGGGAACATCTTTTCTCATTTCAGTGGGAGGTTGAGATCCATGAAGTTAACTCTGGAGCAGAGCTCTGCAGGGTTGCACCCAACTCCCAGAGCGCTGTGTGGCCTGGGCTGTAGGGAAGTCACGGACTTGCTGACTGGCTGAAGTGAGCTGGGAATACAGAGCAGGCAGAGACACCACCAGGCACGCAGGCACAGCGTGCAGACAGCCTACAGGGAAGGGATCAGACCTGACCGAGGCACTGAGCATCAGCATTTGCTAGGGATTTCAACTCTGAATAATCAAACCCACAGTTTGGAAGTTACGTTCTTAGTGAAATCAAAATCAATATGCTTGTTTTCCAGAACCAGATGGACAAAGGAGGACACTGCTCAAGGGCAAAAGATAAGGAACATAAAATGCCCACGTATTATACTCAGCTGCTTTCTCCCTCACCCAGCTGAGAAAAACTAAAGCAGCCACAACTCCCGTTGCCTCCACTTACAAGCTGAGCTGTTACCCCAACTTGTGTGTCTGCATCTTGACAAGGGCGACTCCTTCATGAATTTCTTTGAACTGAACTTGCCAAGAAGCGTGCGCTGGTTGTGCAACATTCAAATTGGAAACAGCACTGCACTGTGGCGATTCACAGCCAAACCAGGAGGTGAAGGGGAATGTTTTCTTCCTTCTGGCTAATCTTACCTGGAGAGGCATCTCAGAGCACAGCAACTTGTATTCATGGTCCCCAAAGCCCTTGATTTTCACGCTTGACCAGAACTTGAGCCTTCACAAGCCAGCATAGCAACAGCCACATGTAGAAAGCACCATACTGCCAATTCCACTGGGGTGGTTCCTCTGAGCAGCAGGGCTAGTGGCCAATATAAAGAGAATGGTAAAGACATACAGAAATCTCAAGGCTAGAGGCTCAGGAAAAATGCCTTTCCTTCTGAGGCAGGACAAAATTGGTGCCATCAGTTTTCCCAGTTCCATGAAAGAAAGGCCCATCTCTGCTAACACACCATTGAGATGAGTCACGTTCAGGCAGAAACCTTTTCAGTAACAGCTGCAGCCCCAGGAGACATGGTAGCCCCTGCTCTCGCTCCACAAACCTGCTATGGTGCAAAGCATGCAAGAATGGCTCGCTGACCAAGGACAGCTGCTCTTTTCTCTCTAGGCACCTCTTTGCCCACGCTCTGAAGTCCTCAAAGCTGCAGCTAGCCTCCCTGCAGCATGGGTCCTCACCCTCCTTCCGTTCTGCAGCATTACCGATTCAGATGCATCTCTTAACAGTTATTTTTGAAATGATCACACCTTCCGAGAGCAGAGGTAGAAGATACCTTCTTCAAACCACATGACCAAACTACAGTTGTTGCCTCTGTACATACACGCAGCACTTCTCCTATTGGCAAGACTTTACGGTGCATCTACTGCATTACCCTGCTGCAGATAGATACAAGAGTTCAATAGATTTTTTTTTTTTTTTTTGCATTGGGATGCAAAGTTGTTCTATAAATACATCCATACTATACGAACATTGGCTTTTTGCTTCTCATCCAATCGTAACAAATTTACATAGCTCCTTTCATCCTAAAGTGCTTTTCAAATGAATACTTGCACACTACACCGAAATATATATATTTCTATATACATACATATATATACACACACACACATATATACACACATATGGATTTTTCTCCCTACTACTGAAATAGCTTCTCACTCTGAGACATAATGCAGCAGCTACTCAAAAGTGCAGCTTTTTGCCCAAAGCTGTGAGGAGGCAGCAGCAGAGAGGACAACCCCTACATCAAAGACTGGAGAAAAAGCTGCTCAGCTCCTGCAGAGCTTTGACAGAGAGAGGGGCAGAAGGACACTGCACTACTAACCAGCCATCCTCTACTGTGATGCCAAATACAGAGACAACTCCTGTTCCTAAAACTACATTTAACCAGCACTTTGACACCATTGTTGTCACCAACCCAGTAACTATGAGGTAGTGTCTCTGACCTCAAGCCTTGCACATTTAATGAGACCCCAAAGGTTTTTAAAGCCAGGAGTGACTAAGCTTTCCATCGATTTAAGAACATTCCAAAAAAATATTAAGAGATCCTACAGCCAAACACGTTTAAGTCTGAAGGACAATTACACTCGCCAGAGCAGTCTTCAAGCCTTCCTTGAGCACATCATGAAAAAGGCAATTACGGATAGAAGTTATAAAACATATGAAATAAGCTGCAGCCCGACCCAGTGAATCAGTGCTCATGGAAATTTCCACAGAAGGCTGGAGTCATCAGTTAGCATTTTGTTTATCTCCCTGCTTCAGATTACGAATCGGAGTGAAGACCTTATGAGAACACCCACTACCTTCCTGCTACTCAAAACACACCCGGGGTGGCCCGCATGTGGGACACAGACCTACAGGACCTCCTGCAAGGTTGCACCCTGACTGTGGCACAGCACGGGCTCCTTTGGAGCAGGACCACAGCACGCCAGGAGATGACGTCATCTTCATACTCGGCGCCAGCCATTGCACAATGGAGCTCCGCTGTATCTAAAGCGGACCTGGCTTACGATCCTAACAGCAAGCTGTCTGTGTGCTATGGGAAAAGGCAAGGATTTCATCCAGCTTTCACAGATGAGATTCCTCTCAAGCACTAAATTTACCCAAAAGATATTCCTCATGTTCAGGTGGCATCAAGACAAGCCAACAGTTCAGCATTAAGGGCTGGAGGGAGAAGGTGGAGTCTCATGGGCTAATTCACCCAGGCCAGCATTTCCTGATCTCAATCTCAGGGCATACAAGACTATTCTGACAAGCTGCTTTTCTGTTGTTGATGGTGTACAAAATGCTCGTTTCAACTACAGCAAATGATGGTAGCTTTGCTTCTCCTATATTCCTTAATGGACGGCCTTAATACAGACAGCAGGAGTGCTGCAGGCAGAGTAGGCTGTGAATATCAGATACAGACAAGAATGAGATAACTAACTTGAGTGATGGATGGCTAATTAGTTTGCAAGCAGCGTCATTAATTAATTCCTCTATCCTTGCTCACGGAGCACCAACATACACAAGTTTGAAAATCAGTGCTATTAACCTCCGCAGAGATCCTGTCCCCACATTTCTAACTTGGTGCTGCAGGAGGTCTGAAGATCCCCAGAAACAACTGACAGGTGAATAACGACAGTCCATTCATCACTAACTGTATTTAAAAACACAGCAGAACCAGTTACCAACGGCATTCTTGCACAACACTTCAAGTAGGAACATTTTGGATCCATGAGGGTGCACTTCTCTAGATGCAGGTATCCCCCACTACTCCTTGGGACCACTTTTGGGAGTTTACTGTCTGACCCAAGAACAGGATCCGGGAGCAGGTAGTAACCGCAATACTAGAGAGAAGAGCTGGGGATGCATAGCAATTGCCCTGCTGTTCTTCTGTGGCTGTGAAAGCCTTCACGCTCTCCTTTTGTTGCAGGAAAAAAGCATACACAGGGCTGTCTCTCCTCTTGCTGCCTGAACTACACTCTCTTTCATTGCATCTGCTATTGTGCTAATGCTACTCGTGTGCCTGTAAGTGTGTTATACACCAGAGAACCCCTAGCATCATATAAAGAACCGGCTGCTTCCACTGCACCATTTACGCTAGCACATATCACACATGAGTATGATTGAGCAGCGAAGGAAGCAGATTTTCAGCTCGGAACTAAAATCAACAGAGAAACACAGCAAATATTGCCGATAAATACGGAAGAGGATGTGAATTCAGAGCACTTGCTATGGGTTCTTGGTGGATCACTGCAGACCTCATTTAGAAGCTGGATAGCCATTGGCTACTGCTGTACTGGAAACTGTAACAGCACTTTTACGAGGGGGAAATGGAGCTTATGCAATTACTTTGTGGACATATGGTGAATGGTTACTACTGAAAATAGTTCAGACCTCAAAGACATCCTTTTTTTGAGCTGGCCATACCGATTTCCAGACACTTGGCAGAGCTGTTCTTTGCAGCTCCCCCCACCCACAGGCACACAGCCCTTACCTTATAGAACACATCAGGCACATACTGCTCGCTACTGGACTCCTTTGCATAGCCCAACTCCGGTGCATCTCGGCAGGGCAGCAAACACTCATCTCGAACCAGTGCCATGCACTGATTTGAGACCTGGTACCCTTCAAAGTGGACCTGGTTGTCGGGACCACCTGGAAGGGAAAAGTCTGGTTAAAAATCCCAAAGGAAAGAAATTTGCCTAGTCTAACTCGGAGAGACGCTTGACTTAAAGGACAACGTTAAACACGACAGTCTCGTTAACAGTGGAGAACGCTGAGGAAGAAACTGCTGTGGTTGCTTCGCAGGAATTCCTTCTAGGCAAGAATCCTCATTTAAATTCTACATTTATTTAATACCCCACACCTCTTCAGCACCATTTTCACAGCTAGCCTAATGGGACAGACCCCTTGGGTGACAGCCAGAGTGTTTTGCCAGGGGCTTAAATGAGGCTAGGCTGTCCTTTTGGAAGCCTCCTGATAGCACCCCTCTCAGATATCCCCTCTCTTTCAAAAGAAAAATCAGGCACACAGCTCCCACACGCCCATTTCATTTCCAAGGTACCATGAGCTGCAAATTCAGGGCTGTTCACCTAGCAGTGTCAGGCATAAGAAGAAAAAGCATATTCTCAGCCTGTAATGGATAGCGTGGTGGAAATCTGACATGGAAAGTGGAAATTAAGACCCTGGCTCACTGAGAGATCACATGCTTGGTGCTTTAATTTGGATAATGTAAGCAACATCAGGTCATATGTCATTAGAATACAACTGGAAAGAGAAGATCAGATGCAGACAGATGGCAGGAAAGCGTTACTATTTCCAAATCTAGGAATTCAGGAGGAGAGAGGAATTAATCCATGCAGAGGAATTAAGGATAAAGGTGATGCAAACTATGCAATTATATTTATACTGCACAAAAGGAAGGAATCACGCGTTTAAACAGAAATCCGATGGGCTGATTTAACAGAAAAGAATGAAATTATCTGGAACAGAAAAGAGGAAATATTCGTTTTCTACCCTTTAATCTCTAACCTCAATCACTCACTGCTCCAGAACAAACACTCCTAGAAATTAAACATAGACGAAGACATGGGGAAGGCCTGAACAAAGCTAGCCATCATTTTCTCAGTAAAGCACCTTGTTTAAAAATAAAATAAAATAATAAAAAGAGCGTGAGAGAAAGATACACATTTATCTTTAATGAAAGATTGATGTGTTTAGCAGCCTGGAATGTACAAGGCAGCTGTCTGATTACATGAGCCTGTTAACTGAAAGAGATAGTGTTTTTACTGAAAAAAGGCTCCAGGAACATTTATAAAGCCCGGGCTCAGAGGAGGCAATATAATATCACACTTTTTTTTTTTTTTTTTTTTAATATTGGATGCTATTTGGAAGTCATGCTTTTTTTCGTTGTGCTAAATAGACCCAGAACCCAGAATATCTGCTCCAGGGAAATTTTAAATGAATACATGTGTCATCCCGTGGAGAAGAGCAGACTGAACTTCTAATGCTACAACTCCTCCAGCACATGCCAACATCTCCCCACACGGTCCAGGCAGAGCAGACTATTGCATAATGCCTCTGGGGACTTGCTGTGAAAATGGCTAAAATCAGAGGTGACAAAGCAAAGCATTTTGCAGCAGGCTTCTCTGTTTTATTCAAACAAAAACGTTTCCATGCACGAAAGGGCAAAGAATCCTACATAAGGGTTTCCCTGACAATGACACAAGGGAGATAAAGGTCCCTCCTTTATGCTCAATGAGTCAGAATAACTTTCAGGATCCAGATTGCTGTGGTTCTGCACTGCCGCTTTCAGGCAACAGAATTTGGAGCTTAACAAGTCAAAACCGAAAACCAACCAGCATCTATTCCCCTGACTACAGACAAACAAACAGATTCTGGATCAGAGGAGTGGATGCTACAGGTTTGAGCCTCAATTAAGATTCCTGCCAGGGACAGGGTAAATAGTTGTAGAGTAAACAGCACAAGGAACAACAATATATTTTACTTGATAGGACAAGGATGAACCCTTGTTAAATAGGACAGATGGGGACTGGGACAGTCTGACTTCTTCTGGGAGAGCTGCTTCTTCCTCTTCTACTATCAAAAGGCAATTCAGGTATAACCAGGAGAGTCAAGGCAAGCCAAGGCCAGTTTATACCTGTAGCCACAACTGTGACAAACTTGGATCCAAAATGACCATCTGGCCCGGGGCCAGGGGGGGCAATATAATATCCCCCTTTTTTTTTTTTTTTTTTTAATATTGGATGCTATTTGGAAGTCATGCTTTTTTTCGTTGTGCTAAATAGACCCAGAACCCAGAATATCTGCTCCAGGGAAATTTTAAATGAATACATGTGTCATCCCGTGGAGAAGAGCAGACTGAACTTCTAATGCTACAACTCCTCCAGCACATGCCAACATCTCCCCACACGGTCCAGGCAGAGCAGACTATTGCATAATGCCTCTGGGGACTTGCTGTGAAAATGGCTAAAATCAGAGGTGACAAAGCAAAGCATTTTGCAGCAGGCTTCTCTGTTTTATTCAAACAAAAACGTTTCCATGCACGAAAGGGCAAAGAATCCTACATAAGGGTTTCCCTGACAATGACACAAGGGAGATAAAGGTCCCTCCTTTATGCTCAATGAGTCAGAATAACTTTCAGGATCCAGATTGCTGTGGTTCTGCACTGCCGCTTTCAGGCAACAGAATTTGGAGCTTAACAAGTCAAAACCGAAAACCAACCAGCATCTATTCCCCTGACTACAGACAAACAAACAGATTCTGGATCAGAGGAGTGGATGCTACAGGTTTGAGCCTCAATTAAGATTCCTGCCAGGGACAGGGTAAATAGTTGTAGAGTAAACAGCACAAGGAACAACAATATATTTTACTTGATAGGACAAGGATGAACCCTTGTTAAATAGGACAGATGGGGACTGGGACAGTCTGACTTCTTCTGGGAGAGCTGCTTCTTCCTCTTCTACTATCAAAAGGCAATTCAGGTATAACCAGGAGAGTCAAGGCAAGCCAAGGCCAGTTTATACCTGTAGCCACAACTGTGACAAACTTGGATCCAAAATGACCATCTGGAGAAAGCCGACAGATGTTGGGCTGCTGGTTCTGAAAGTTTCCAGCCGTGATGCACTCTTCTGCACTTAGATAATAAGTGTCCTGAGGGAAGAGCAGAAACGTCAATAAAAAGGACAACATGATGTAGCCTAGACCTATTTCCCTGGTCTGCAGCCAAAGAAAACTACCAACACCCTAGTAAAACATGCTTTCGTAGAAAGTTGTTGCAAAGACTGAGAAAAGAATGTGACATATCAGTTCTCTGAGCTTGGCTTTCACCAGAAGGAACATCCCACTTCTGCTTCTGGTTCCACCCACCTTTACACACCCATTTTGTTACGGGCTTTCATTTTCCAAGCAGGGATGCCATTGATTTTAGAATTGCAGGAAGCTGAGAAGGTCAAAGTTTGAGGATCCAAACCACGTACTTCACAAAGCCCAGCCCATAAGAAGGGCCTCTGATTGAATCACTTTTGCTCACTGAATTCACATCTCACACAAACCCATTGCCTCTACTCTACTAAATTCTCTCAAACTATGAGCCCTAAGAGCAGGTGAAGGACTGCAGGCAGGCAGCTCTGCACACTGTCCAAATAGCTAAACTCCCAACAGTGCTCGTTGAGCTCAAGCTCCTTTTCCTTCAAAGCTTTTTAAAAAAACCACATTTCACAAACATTCCACTTCCAGTGTCACCTCCAGCCCTGTGCTGCCCTGGCTCAGTATTCTGCTTGGCAAAGCCTGCATTTACGTGATTATACAAAGAGTCAATATCAAGAGCTGTAATTAACTATGCACTTGCATCTCACCTTGTTTCGGCTGTATCGAACGGTCCCTTTCCGCGTGTCTTCAGAGACCAGATCAGTAAATATCCAGCCAACCTATAGGGAAACGTTAAAAAGAAAGTTGCTTAAAAAAAAAAAAGGCTGGGGGGGAGGGAATAGAGAGAGAAAGAAGGGAGCTTATACATCTCCTCTTAGCAGGACAAGATGTTCTTGGCTCTTCACACTGCCCTGCGAGGGCCTGCTGCAAGCTGCCTGAAGGAAATCGCTCTCCCAGCTGTGTCAGGCTCATTTGAATACAATTTCCAGGAGCAGCATGCCAGCTGGCCGGCTGGGGGCACCTGCAGGTTTACGTTTCACTATGGAATATTTTTTCATGGAAAGATCTGGAGGCTGCAAGAGGCCTCTCAGCCACTACCTCTTCCCACCCACAGCAAAAAGCATTTCCTATTGAGCGTTTAGAGCAAAGCAGCATCAGGAGCGCCAAGAGATGACAAAACAGCTCACATGATCTCATTTTGAAGCTAGCAGTCGCTAGCTAAGATAAAGCTCATATGTTCCCACTGGAGTATGATTCATCCCAAATCAGTCTGCTGTGTTCCAAAAAAAACATTCCT